ACGTCGCGGCGTTCCGTCTGAAGTTTCAATGATTGGACTTCGTATACCATGGGAGTCCTCCGCTAAGTATCTCGGTGTTATTCTGGACAAAGGGATGACTTGGCGGAACCATATAGAAGCGCTAAAAACTAAATTCCAAATTACGTTTCGACAGCTTTACCCATTATTATGTAAACGTTCAAAATTAAGTTTGATTAACAAGATTCGACTCTATAAGGTGGTCATAAGACCAGCAATGACTTACGCATGTGCGGCTTGGTATATTATTGCTAAAACACACATGCAAAATCTGCAGGTTCTGCAAAGCAGGACGTTGCGCACTATTGCTGACGCCCCATGGTATGACTAACGAAACTCTACATAGAGACCTCGATGTCCCTTACCTAAAGGATTACATTAAGCAACAGGCGCAGCGGCGCAATCGCACAACAACCCTCTGTTGCGTGTCAGTGGACTACACAGTCGAGCAAGTTCGCAAGCACAAAAGGTCGCGACTCGCACTGTAATCAAAATTAATTCGTGAACTCAAAACAACCAAAATTGGAGCATTTTGACAAAATCTTTAGAAAAAATCGAATATTTTTAGACCATATCAAAACCTGTGAAGTGATTTTAACACCTAAACGCTGCCTACCCTAAAAGTTTCTCTTCTTCCCCTTTGCTGTCGTTCTTCCTTCTCTCCTTTCCTTCCCTTTTTTCCTTAAAATTATCTGGTTTCTGGATTACCAGACCTGACAGACTTACAAACTGACACTGTGACTCAAGAGTTAAGGTCCCACGGACCGCTCTGACAACCAAAGATGACTGACATCTACAATATATCTACTGAATTTCCAAAAAATTCAGCGGAATGCCACACCTCTGCCTCTGAGGGGTCCTTTCTAATCATTTCACAATGGATCCAACAAACGTGCATCGAGCTCAGCGATTATAGACTTTTCTCTCTTTAGTCACACTTAGAGGACTCTTGATGTTCATATCAATCTCCTAAAGTTAGTCGAATTTTGAAATTATAGTAATTTTCAGTCATAGTTAATTACAATTGCAAGATACATCGCACTTTATCTTCATTTACGTTGAATCGTCTCCTTAGTTGTCAGTCCACCCGACTCTATATTTTTTACCCTAAAGCGAGAGCGTTATAACCATGAACACTTATGATATGATGTGAGGTTTTTTAGAAATTATAACGCTGAATAATAAAAATCAAATTTCCTACTATCACTAGTATTATGTATAGAAAGTACCAAATCGACCTTATTGATCCAGATCTAAAATGACGCAAACGACGTACCGACGCTGTCCGTCGAGCCTCGGGAGGCGATGGAACCCACAATGCGAATCGAGGGGCCCCAAATCAGATAGAATTTGTGCTCCTGTAGCCTCCTGCCCTTCTCAATCTTTCATTACCACCACCTGTAAGGCCCAAATTTCACTCTTCCGCGGTTGTATGCTCTGCTTCTCGGAGAAGGAGGGCAACTAAACTTTTACTTACTGATTAAATGGTGAAATATGCTGAAACATTTTTGTTTAACACGCTTTTATTAACTCGACCTGTATTTGGAAAATAACTGACAAATTCAGAAATCTACAAAATAATTTGAAGATTTAGGAATTTTGAAAAAATATCGGTAATTCCGAAATGTAAAAAAAAATTGATATAAAAAAATGGAAATGTTGGAAAGAAATTCGGAAAAAAATAATTTTAAATTTATAAAAAAAAATCGGAAATTCAGATTCACCCATTCCAACATAAGGTCAGAAACATGCTGAGGGATGAATAACAAGAGAGTGATTAAAATGTCATGTTGCTAGTGTCAACATCAGGCAACCGGGCACACCCTGTTGTATAAGTACATTTGTATTGTTTGATACTTAAAATTCAGAAAATAAATTAAATTACAAAAAACTAAAAAAAGCAACACTCTTGAATAGCAAATCAAACTAATAAGAATAAAATATGTTTCAAGTATATGAGAATTTGTGTTATTGCAATAGAAAGTCCAACAATCAAGTATGGTAAGGTGTTCAATTCAATTATATTAAAAATGCTATAATAAACTATCATTTCATAATAACTCCAATTTTGTAAATAGAAAATAAAAAAATAACTCTAACATCTAATACCAAGCAACCTACGCTTAACCAACAAAATTGATTTTCTTTTAATATATTAATTTTTAAATCGATCTTATTTCACATTGATTAGTCATACCTACTTGAATGTTGGACTTTCTGTGGCAGTAACACACTCTCATATCCTATACCTACCTACTTGAAAATTATTTTCTACTTTTCAGTTCTATTTGCTATTTTTAGGTACTTTAAACAATTATTTATTTGATGAATGCGTAGCTAATAGGACATGTCCAACCAAACATTACTTTGTAGTTTCATATTGAATATGCAAACGTATAGGATCTACGATTTCATTGACTTTACTATATCGCGATTCTATTTTAAACGTAATTCAAACAAGCTACGACATCTGTAGTGAGAAAGCCGAACCTTGGATAAACTACATGTGCACTACTGGTTCCCAGACGTATTTACATGGAATTCCGACGTACGTTGATAGATCCGTACGTAATAATCTTGACCTCAGCACGATCAGTGACGTAACTAAGTTATGTAAAACTTTCAATGTCAATTCGTGCACAGGAAATTTCTATACAGCATGCATCTGTTTCGTGGGGATCCCCTTGTTTTCGTGAGTGAGAATAATTTTGAACAAGACAAGTAATATTCCTGCATATCGCATCCCCGTTTCACGATTTTATATGGAAAATATTACTTTCTCAATACATTGAAATTGTTATAAACCGAAAAATACGCTAATAATAAATACTGGCTGACTTGATTCACCATGATTACTCATGTTTTTCTAACACTGTTAGCATCTTCAGAGGAAGATTAAAACTAAAATAATCGGTATGGCAAGAGGTAAAGCTCTGTAGTAGTCATAGTCGTTACGACAAAGATCCAACATCGCATACACATATATTAATATACCATATCTGCGGTACAGTATATCTTCTCCCAGGGTTCATATTACTGACTTGTATTTCTCTAGCTACTTGACATAATATAAATAAGCAGATGGCCTTGATACATTCAAATGACTAGACTGTAATAGTCAATATTTATTATTTCATGTCTAAGGTTTCGGTAACAAAATATTGCTTAAGATGTGGCCAAAATATGAAGAACTCTGTAAGTTGCTTATTTTAAAAAGAATATCCCGTATGTCATCGAATTTTTGGATTCTACACGAGATTCTGAATACACCTCATATGTATCATCCTATACCCAAGTCTAATAGTTGAGTTCTAACAGCTTTTATCGAATTTTTGTCTTTGCCATATGAATTGTAGCGGCTTTCCTATGACAAGGAACCTGTAGTATGCTTTGTTCCGGATATGGATAAGAAATAATACAGGTGTTCCAAAAAAGAGAATGAAAATTAGATTTTGGAAATCCCAAAGGGTATTTAGTATTTTTTTCGACTGCAAGCCACTTTTGTTTATAATTACATTGTTATAAACATTAGAAACAAGGTCAATTTTGTGTAAAGTTGTCCACTTAATATAAATAATAAATGAATAAGGAATTGGTACCTACTTTCGGTACAACTGGAAGTGCCACCATTTAGAAAATATGTCATCTGAATTACACCCATCAGTTATACTTTAATACGTATAAATAAATCTTTTTGATAACTGACTTATAGCAGCTTTTTGAGTATTCGATCGCTACAGTTCTATGTGGACGACTCTGTGGAAAAAAGGATAGCTAGAAGGAACTATCTACGTGGAAACAACCGATAGTGTTTTTAGTTAAGTAAACTATTTCACCGGCTAGTCACTATTGAATCTGAATGAGTGTGTAGCATCCACCAAAAAGTACACTTCTATAAAAGATGGTGAATGCGCTTTACAACACCTACCCTGTTTTTCTAAATTTTTATTGTTTTTCAGATGATAAGAATGTTTACTGGGCTAATTCACCAAAAGTGTGTGTAAGCTCTGTAGTTTAACTTTGTTCCTTGTTGTGTGAAGCATAATGTTTTTGCTTTACGCTAACAAATCTTTACGTTTCCGTAAAATACATGTATAACCATAGACAAGTCATAATGCACTCACTTGTATTTCTGGTTGCCTAAGAGGTACCGGTACTCAAATTCAATAATACAATACACATATCACTTAGATTTTCCGCAATTGTTTTTAGATGAACACCGAACGCTATATCAGGAAGTTTCAACCTTACTTGAGTCCTACTCAGGGCTCTATTAATAGGTATGCACCAATTCCCTTCTTAAAACGGATTATCCTCAAATGAATGGAAATTACCTGATTAATCCATCTGAAACAGTCATTTCTATAACCTTTTTAAATGTTCGTGAAAAGACCATTGCATGCAGCAGCTACTATAGTTTTGCCACTGACCAAATTGCTTTTTGAGATATTACCCACTTTTCTTTGCAATATAAACGGAACCGCCTGGAAAAACCTAACTCCACCTCATTTTTGAGTATAATAATAAGACCAGTTTTTCTAGTAACATACTTTTCGACTCTGTTCACCCGTAGACCTGCGCTTTCTCAGAAAGCATGAATATGTCCAGATGGAAAGAAAATTTAAATATCATTAGAGCCAAAGCTTCCAGCAAATGCTAGCCTACACTAGCTGTACTTTGTTGGGGGGACTATGGGATGATCATGACCAAACTCTCAGACGCTTGAGGAAAATATTGGATAAGATGCATATGTCACGGCAACAATAAAATTCAGCGCCTTCTCAGCGGTCTTAGCATTATAACTTACATGTCTTAACACTGGGGTATCTTTATCATAGAGAGAACTTTAGAAAGTACGCAATTACACATTACGCTTATCAAAGATTAGTATTTACTGAAAACAGAATCATTCTTATAATAAACACTATGCTCTATGAATATAGACTGACCTCAATTGAAGGAATTTATCTAATTTTGTATAACAGGATTACATTATAGAAGCCTCGAACTTCGAGAAACGTGTGGGTGTTTAAAATCTGTCGTCAGAAGCCAATAAACTGTTATGTAAATGCAACGGAATACTGTTCGCATGTGGAGATAGTTGCATTTACCATATAATACGAGGTATTTGGTAAGCATCACCACCTTAGAACTAAATATAGATGATTCAGCCGTTAACCGTCGGTCACGTAGTGTGAACTTGTACGAGTATTTTATTTTCCCTAATTCCACCAAGGTATTATCAATTTCTTTATAGTCGCTATACTACCTAGATATTTTATCTAAGATCTCTCTTCGCAGATGTTTCATTATAAAAAACCTATGTAAATGCAAGGAATTACATTTTTTGAGAATTTATGAGAAGGCGTCTACATAATCAGACATGGTAATATTCGAACCACTCAAATACAGTATTCCTACAAGTTCAAGATCAAAGTACTGACATAAGGTTCTAAATGAAGCATTTGGATTCTAGAACTTTGCTATGTACTTGTGAATATATGTAAGGTGATAGAACGACATTTATGGATATGCCTAGCTCGTTCAGCTATCAGCATAGTCTAGTTTGTAATGGCTTTGCCAATGGCACTCCATTCTTGGAAATCGATGAATCAATTGACAACGCGCAACGTGAAAGAGAAGAGATTAGTTTTTTATACTTTTAGGTTAAGGATCTTTATCCCAGTCGCTTTGTTCAAAAGGAATCATTCTGTTTTGCTTTTAGTCCATCAAAATTTCCTCGTATCTTCCATTATTATTATACTGTGAAGGTTACTCGAAAGTTTAATCTTTCAAAACTCAATTACCTACGTTAAAATCAAAAACGTGTCTTGAAACTGGTTTATTTGTCAGTGACCCAATTTTCATTGTATTGCAAAGAAGGATTCAATTAGTTTGCAGATTGTAGATCAGAGTTGCCAGGTACCATCAATCCATTTTCGGTAGATTTGAGCCAAATTTTTCGGTAGGTCGTGAAATTTTTCGGTAGACGGTAACTCAGAAAGCAAATACTTGTCGGTGATTGGAAATTGAAGAGGGGGCACCTCCTATAAGCTCTACTCGGGTTCGAAAGTTGAAATGCTGCTAGTTGAAGAGAAGGACGGAAAGTTGCAAACATTGAAATCACTCTATTCTGGTGTTTCGTTAAATTATATCAAAAACATAATATTTAATAATTTGATGAAATTTTCATTTTCGGCAGATTTCGCATGAAAACCGGTAGCTTGGTAGAGCAGGACTGAAATCGGTAGACCTTTAACACTGTCTTAGATGTAGGAAATAATGTCAACGTACGGTTGAATGGTATACAGTATATGTATGAATTTTGGCAGTGCTAATAATATGGATATTACATAATGTGTATGTGAAGATCCAGGTCAATCAACGCTGCCAAATTTTTAGGTTCCAGTTTACAAATAGTACCATACTTGCGGATGATTTACAAGCTGCCAGCTTATAATTTTCTATGTAACCCAAATCGCCTATCGTTTTAGGTCGCAATTACTGTCGATAAAATGCAAAAATCTACGCAGATCCTAACACGAATACAATACCCAATGAAGTTTGGCCTTCACCTGATTCAGCTTAGATGCCACAAATGGGAACCATATTTCAACACGAAAATATTATGTAAAACATGCTTAAGCTATTTAAAGCCTTATATTCGCACATCAGGGGCAGACAGAGGGGGTACATATTTCCAATAAAAGACGTTGATTTACGCTATTTTAAAGAATCGCTTATTATACTAATATACTAATTACTAGTTACTGATATTATTAATAGTCCTAATAAAATTATGAATAAGAAGGTGTTGATGTTTGTTACTGAATCACGCTACAATAGCTGAACTAATCTGAAATTTTGTACAGACACAGATTATAGCCTGGAGTAGCACATAGGCTGCTTTTTATTCCGGAAAGTAATTTTGTAATATCTATTACGCGGGTTACTGCGATAACGTCTCAATAGAATTTGAAATCAGGCGTCTGACGCGGAAGCGCTCAGTCGCTGGTCCGACCAAAATGAGTAAGGGTATATGAAAAAGAAAATGTATACTGTGCCTTTACTGCATTTCGATATTCGTTTTTTTTTAGCTTGACCGTCTTGATTTAGTTTTGTTTTGTGGTTTATTTTAGTGCAAATATAATAGTGTGAATATATTGGTATTGGGTTAGGATATGTTAAGTTACTTAATAATAATAATAATAGACGACTTTATTTATCCACAATTACATTGTAGTATAGCCAAATGTCAGACTTATATGGCGAAGTTTAGCATGCTGCTACTCTTACACTTAACCATATAGTCTCTAGCAGATGTTCAAAAGAATACACTATCCACTAACAGATTTGGTTCATTACATCGAAAGTAATATTTAAAAAAAGAGAAAAAGGCATACTTTCCAAACCCAAATGCACCAAACAATTATTAATCTGAATTAAAGATGGAATAAAAAAGAAATGAATGATAACGTAACTTATATGTTTGGAGGGTTGAGTAATAATGTTTTAACTCTTTGTCGAAAGACAGGTAATGAAAATTCTTTATATACTTTAGAAAGGTCATTATAAATAATAGCAACATTGTAAGAAAAACTGCGTTTAAAAAGTGTAGACGTATGCAGGGGTATTCTAATATTATTTTCTCTGAGAGTTCTACAGTGAACATCATTATTAAATGAAATGTTTTCCTTCAAGTAATAAGGTTTAGACGTGAGCAGCAATTTGTGAACAAAAACTGAATAGTGATACTTGACCATGTCATTAATTTTTAACCAGTTTAGAACGGGATATTTATACTTCATATCTTATTTACTGTGATTCTGACTTAACATTTGATATTAATTTATTGCTGCGTTAAAATGTTGAAAAAAGACCCGTTGCATTATTGCACCACTTTAACTATCGCATTTTTTTCCGAAATCAGTCTCCAGAATAATGCAAAGCGGATCACCTAACTTCACACTATCTCTACGCGGGCGGAGCCGCGGGTTTAGACTAGAAAAAATATATTTATATATTGAAATTCTAGGGGCGAAAGCGGTGCATTTCAGGTCTTGCTTTAAATTCATATATATTGTTCTGGGATACGCATCCTTTTTAGGCATAACCAAAACATGTTTTGATGGTGAATGTATAAAGATAAAACTTTTTTTGAACGTTTCTCCAAATATATTTTGGAATATATAATATAATATAATAATATTACGCCAGATACCGTAAAGAAAGGGCGTGGATTTATTAAACATGTTCCAAAATTTTCACTGAGATACATAGAAATGAATAACATATCTCTAAAAGATTCAATCCATCGCATTTTGACCAAGAATTTGGGTATAAGAAAGGTGTGTTCACGGTTTATTCCGCACAAGCTCACGGATGAGCCACAGGCCAGAAGAGACAAACACTTTCTGTACAACATTGTGACTGGTAACGAAACTTGGCGTTTTCAATACGATCCCGAAACCAAGCGTCAAAGTGCCGAATGGAAGCACCCAAGAGAGCCAAATCCGAAAAGGTCATTTGGAAAAGTCTAAAGTGAAGACAATGTTGATTTGTTTCTACGATTCGAAGGGAATTATTCACAAAGAATTCGTCCCCCTGGGCCAAACGGTTAACGTTGCGTTTTATCTTCGTGTTATGAGGCGTTTGCTGTCGCGTATCCGACATTATTCCTTCCGCATATCAACGACCTCTTTTCCTCAATCCCAATTCAGAGATTTTCTGATTACAGCACTCTACATGCAGGAGTTCAGAATGACAAGCCGAGCTCTGCCGGTGAGCTTGAGAAAGAAAGACTAGCAACGACTTTCTCTCTGGCGAGAGACTTGGAGGTTATCACTGCTTGGGGATCTAAGAAGCTGGTACAGCTTAATGTTTCCAAAACACAATACTGAACCTTGATTGACAAGAGGCACCCTGTTGCTCATTCGGTTTCGATGGATAGTTGAGTTCTACCAACGAGCCGTTCATTTCGGCTGGTCCAGATTACCGAGGACTTATCTTGTTTTGGGCTAAGAAGTACTTTTCTCCACAAAACCTCCTCACTCTGTACACAGCCCATATAAGCCCTAGCCTCGAGTGCTGCTCACACCATTTGGGTGCTACCGCTCCGACTACATCGCCTATCCTCCACACTGCTCAGAGCAGAGCTATCCAGCTGATTAACCTCTAGTGGACAGCTTCCGACGGGCTGACAGCGATCTAGCTCTCTTCTACCACTATGTCAACAGGCTTTACTTCTCAGAACCTAACCGTGGCGAACTTCGTACATCCGCAACCGGCCGATACAACCGCGCCTTTGTCCGTAGGGTATCAAGACTGTGGTACAATCTAACCGAGGAGGTTTTTCCCAGTTCAACTAACATTCAACAGTTCAAAGATCAAATTAACAAAGTTTCTTTAAGCTCCTCATAGCAGCCTAGCCACGGTGCCCTGGTATTTAGGCACCTGCCTAGTAGGAGCTATGGACAGCTTGCATGAGACTGTTTGCTATACATGTTCATAGATAGCTTTTTTCTGAGGGGCTAACTTGTGCCAAATATAATCCGATAATATAAATCGTTGCGTAGGAAGTGCCGACCTACTTGACGCTATTTTTTAGCTTTATTTCAGGACAAAACGTACTCCGGAGTTGCAACCTCGAAGCTCGCAACTACCTGAGGTAACTCCGCCACTGACTGTTACAAGGTGCTGATCGCGAGATTACAGACACGCGAATTCCATGTGGGCGGAAGCAATTATTTCCTCCTGGCCATTTCTAGGAAAATATCGATTTAAGCAGTTCGAAATAGTTCATGAAAGCAGTGTAATTTGGGAAAACTGTCTTTAAGGATATAGTAGAAGTTGGAGTGTCTAGAAATAAATGTCATGGATATATGAATGGAATAATTTGAATACCGTACAGTTTTTGATAACAAGCATCATTAATGAAACATGCGAGCATGGAGTGGGTTTTACTTCCAACACCATGACGACTTAGATAAGTTTTGGAAAATAAGTACTCTACTACGATAATTAAGCTTTGTAAAAAAGTTATAATGTTGGAGAAGGCCAGAAAGCATTTCACAATATTTTCGAGATACAAACTATAAATACGAACTTCATGCATTCAGAAGGAACTACCGTGTCCTTTAAAATTCCATACTTGAGATCTGGCAAACAAAAGACATGTATATTCCTATTATTGGAAGTATAGGAGAAATACTTTGCGGCAGTTTTATCTTTATTGTTTAGCTTGTTAATTACTTGATATTGGGCTAACTATCTTATAGCTTAAACCAAGCACTAAGCGATTTCACTTTGATATACAGTATATATATATATATATATATATTTATATATATATAACTTGAGGTGTGGTCATTGTCGTCTAGACCAGTTAGGTGAAAAATTAAAGCTTCCGCCTTTTGTTGGGTACTTCGACAAAATTTAAGCAAAGAGGACTCTTTATACTTTTTTTAATTCTCTCTAGCTTTCAATGGACTTTGCCATCATCATCAGGAGCTGCAATTACAATGATAACAGTAGCAACAAAGGTGTAAAATGAATTTAAATTGACTCAACTTACAGTAGTATGTGAGGATGTTGCTAATTGTTGTTTACGTATAGGATGAGGGAAACGTCCAGTAACATGGTGAGAGCTGGATAGATTGTACAATGGTCAAAATTATATAAAATATGACAAGAACAAGTTAAAAACAGATTAAAAATTATTTAAAAAAACATTAGAGCATTACATCGTGAAGCCACTTGATGATTGCACAAATTAGTGGTCATGGAATAATGAGTGACATGAAACCCTTTGACAGAAGGCCGAAGGATGTCAATGTCTGTGTTGAAAGATGGAACGAATTGTGGGCGTGTGCCAAACGTTGCCAAATCACTTCAGATGATGAGATTTTCAGAATTTTATGTAAGAATTTGTTAAACCGACCAGAGGCAGTTGAATAAACTATATTTTAATTAATGGGAATTTAAATTAACAATTATTAATAAATCGTGAGAAGAGAATTATTATATTTTGAGTGGAATGAAATTTACTGGTGGAATCGGCCAAAACACAGATTCTAATTATGGTTGTGAAGAGTTGAAATTTGGGGAGATATGTAAGTTCTCCAATTTTTCACAGTTTAGCAAATATGAGTAAATGACACTAAGTTGTTTAACATCTGTCTTTTTGTTGACACAGTTGTTATTCATGAAGATGTGGGACATTTCCAGGAATAAACGTTTGGAAAGGTGTTTTTCTTTATCAAGAACTTTGATACTTGTGTAATTCATAGAATGCCCTGTTGTGTTAACATGAGATCCTGAAAGATGCGCCCTACCATTGTACAATCTATCCAGCTCTCACCATGTTACTGGACGTTTCCCTCATCCTATACGTAAACAACAATTAGCAACATCCTCACATACTACTGTAAGTTTAGTCAATTTAAATTCATTTTACACCTTTGTTGCTACTGTTATCATTGAAATTGCAGCTCCTGATGATGATGGCAAAGTCCATTGAAAGCTAGAGAGAATTAAAAAAAGTATAAAGAGTCCTCTTTGCTTAAATTTTGTCGAAGTACCCAACAAAAGGCAGAAGCTTTAATTTTTCACCTATATATATATATATATGGTCTTATATATATATATATATATATATAAGACCATCTGTTATTCTTTTTTAGACACTGTATGCAGAATAATCCTACACTGTCC